TGTTCTCCCTTTTAAAAATATGACCAATGGGCAAAAGAGGTCCAAAAAGTCAATGAGGAGAAGAATGCCCTAAAAAGCAAAATTGGTCAAATGGAAAAGGAAGTTCAAAAGCTTACTGAAGAAAATACATCCTTAAAAATTAGAATGGAGACTTACAACATCACTAATGTGAAAATATGTTTAATATGAATGTAAATGTATAGCCTATATCAGATTGTGCACCATCTTGGGGAGGGTGGTGGGGAAGAAGGGGAAGAAAAATTTTAAACTCAAAAGCATATGGAAGTGATTATTGATAAATCAAAATAAATTAATAAAAAATTAAAGCTGTCTAAAAATGTAAAAAAAAATTAGAATGGAGAAATTGGGAGCTATTGACAATTTGAGAAATCAAGGCACTGTAACACTAATCCAAAAGAATGAAAAAATAAAAGAGAATGTGAAATATCTCATTAGAAAAACAACTGGCCTGAAAAATAGATCCAGGAGAGATAATTTTAAAATTATTAGACTATCTGAAAGCCATGATAAAAAAAAGAGCCTAGACATCATCTTTCAAGAAATTATCAAGGAAAACTGCCCTGATATTTTAGAACCAGAGGACAAAATAGAAATTGAAAGAATCCACTGATCACCTCCTGAAAGAGATCTCCAAAGGAAAACTCCTAGGCATATTTTGGCCAAATTCCAGAATTCCCTGGTCAAGGAGAAAATATTGCAAGCAGCCAGAAAAAAACAATTCAAGTATTGTGGAAACAAAATCAGGATAACATAAGATTTAACAGCTTCTACATTAAGGGTCCGGAGGTTATGGAGTGTGATACTCTGGAGGGCAAAGGAGATAGGGCTACAACCAAGAATCACCTACCCAGCAAAACTGAGTATAATCCTTCAGGGTAAAAAATGGTCTTTCTATTAAATAGGGGACTTTCAAGCATTCCTGAGGAAAAGACCAGAGCTGAATAGAAAATCTGACTTTTAAATGCAAGACTCAAGTGAAACATGGAAGTGGTAAACAGGAAAGAGAAATCATAAGCGACTTATTAAGGTTGAACTGTTTACATTTCTGCAGGGAAAGATGATATTTGTAACTCATGAGATCTTTGTCAGTATTAGGGTAGTGGGAGGGAAAAAAAATATATGTATGTATAGATAGATAGAGGGCACAGGGTTAGTGAAAAATGAGGGAGTGATTAAAATTAAGGGGTGAGAGAGGATTATACTGGGAGAAGGAGAAAGGGAGAAGTAGAATGGGGTAAATTATCTCACATGAAACAGACAAGAAAAGGCCTTTACAGTGGAGGAGAAATGGGGGAAGGTGAGAGGGAATGAGTGAATCTTATTCTCATAGGATTTGGCTTAAGGAGGGAATAACATACACAATGGGGTATGAAAATCTATCTTATCCTACAGGAAAATAAGGGGGGAAGGGGACAAGAGAGCAGGGGATTGATAGATTGGAGGACAGATTGGAGGAGGGGATAATCAAAAACAAACACTTCTGAGGAGGGACAGGGTCAAAAGATAGAATAGAATAAATAGGGGGTAGGATAGGATGAAGGGAAATATACTTAGTTTTTCACAACAGGACTACTACGGAAGTGTTTTGCATGACTACACATCTATAACCTGTATCGAGATGCTTGCCTTTTCAATGAGGGTGGGTGGGGAGGGAAGAAGGAAGAAAATTTGTAACCCAAAGTTTTAAAAACACATGTTAAAAATAAAAATAAACATATAAAATAATATGGACAACGAACTGGATTTGGGAATATGGGAAGATCACATGTGGATTGCTGGGGATCACACCTGGCAAATGTAGCTTTATTGAGTTTTACATCACAAGATTAAAAATGAGTCACTAAAACACAATAAAAGCCCTATCTCACAATTAGAAGCTATAAGAGAGAGGAAGTGAAGAGAAAAAGCTGGACACAGGGCAAGCCCAGATGAGTATCAGAAGACCAAAGAAAGAGAAAACATCACTGCTGCCTAATGAAATATGCTGATAATAAACAGTTCCCTGCCACTTTAAGGTAGAAGAGGGGAGGAGAACCAAAAGAACGACCATTTTGGATACAGTCAGGGCTCACTGAAGGAAAAC